TACACAAATCTTTGTTACTTAGAAGCCACTGTTTTTCAAGAAGATTGTTTTATACTATAGCTGCCACTTTAGTAAGTGTATTAGATATGAAGAGGTAGAAGGATGAGGACAGGAACACTGTGACAGCTCTGCTGCCCCAGTACCCTGAGGAGGGACAGTACCTGGAGGTCTCTGTGGTGTTAATGAACAGTCTGCCTGGGAAAAAAAGAGAAAGAAAACGAGAGAAGATTCGATAACCTAAACGTGTTCCAGCGCTGCAGGGTTTAAGTGTTTGCAATTAATTATTCTTTTGTCATACTTTAGCTTGCCAATTCTGTAACTCCTTGGGATATCTTGCTGAGCTTAATCGCAGCTGCCACTCATGATCTGGATCACCCAGGTGTGAATCAACCTTTCCTTATTAAAACGAACCATTACCTGGCAACTTTATACAAGGTTAGTGCAACTCTGTCATCTAAATTTAATGTTTTTTCATTCTAGTATAAATGTTTCATGTTTCGACGAAATTATAGTAGTAAAAAATTCTAATAAATGTTAGAAAGAACTAGATTAGTATTACTAACACATAATTCTTTATTAAGTACAGAAAGAGAGTTAGCATTAACTAACTAAGAATTATTTCTTGTAGAATACCTCAGTACTGGAAAATCACCACTGGAGGTCTGCAGTGGGCTTATTGAGAGAATCTGGTTTATTCTCACATCTACCATTAGAAAGCAGGTAGGTTAGATTAACAAAAATTTAATTTGTAATCAGCTATGGAAATTAAGTTGCCAGAACAGTATATAGTTTTTATAACTATATTATTATGTTCAAGCATTCCAAAGTTTTCAGTTTTTGTTTAAATTGAATAAATTACAGAGTATAACTTTATAATTATAAGTTATGTATTATGAATAAAATTATAATTTTTAAATGTATTTCAAAATTTTAATTATTTGACTCTATTCAGTAGTTCAGTCAGTAATATTAATGATTTTTAAATGAAAGACCATTCCATGAATTCTAGTACTATAAATTTCTCTCTAGATGTACAGTGGTTCAATCATAATTTACTACTTATTTACATAGATATTACATATTTCCACTTTATACTCAGCTGAATAAACCCATAAGGTGAATTAAACATTCTGTGTAATAAGTAGTCATTAAAATCTGTCTTTGGAGAATTTCAAAACTAATGAGAAAGTAATGATACTTTTACATCCTTGAAAACGTAGTCCTAAAGACACTTCTGGAACTATGGGACAAAATAGCAAATCAAAAGAACAAAATAGTTTAGAAAAAATGATGTTAAGTAGGCCATTTGAGGACATAATACAAAAGCACTAACGTAAGCTAGCCTGACATGATGGTGGTGCAGATCTCTTGCCCCACTACCACAGTGCGGTCCATAAGCCAGAGCTTTTCCAAGTGCCACACTAAGAGCACTTTAGAAAACTGCCACTGGGTGTGGTGGCACACACCTGTAATCCCAGTACTAAGGAGACCAAGGCTGGAGGATTGCTGTGAGTGCAAGGCCAGCCTGGTGACAAAGTGAGCTCACGGCCAGCCTGAACTGCATAGCAAGACCTTGTCTGAAAAAGACTAAAATAGAGACAAAAGAGAAAGGGGTGGTGGGGGAAGAGAGAGAAAAAGAAAAACCATACATGTAGGTTTAAACCTTCTAAGTCAAGCAAAGGGGTGAAGAATAAAAATTGATGTTCAAATATTAAAATTTACACTTATTTTTCTTTCTTCTTTCCTTTCATAATTTAAAACTACTTAAAACTGTTTTGTATAATGACTATAAGGAAAAAGCCGGGCTTTATTTTTTATTTTTTAACTCTTTACTCATGGTTACCATTTGGAGTATGACAGTAGTTCTGGTAAGTAAAACAATTTCTTGCTGTAGTACAGATATAAACCATCTAGTATTTGTATATCTAAATTATTTTTAAGACAGATTTAAATGTTTTAATATTCACTTTTTATCCTGTTTTCCATATGATTAAACTTGTTAAATTCTTAGATTTAATAAAAATTAAAACTGAAAATACTACTTAATAGCATATTTTATGGTTTCATTATTTAGGGCTTTTTACTTAACCAATGAGTGTTTTAATATATTTGACAGCTCTTTACTTATAGAAAGATATGCTTACTATAGCCTGTTAAAAGACCAGAATTTTTTAAATGTGTTTCTTCAGTCATTTGACATGGGGCACTTTTTAAAATGACATATTATTTGCTGTTTGTATTAACAATGTTACTTTTTTCCTTCACATACAGATAATTTGGATATTCATATACAGATAATTGAGTCTCGAGTTTGACACTGAAAATTTAGTGAAGTATAAATGTTATTAAATTGTTTAGTGGAATTTCAATAAAATTTCATCAGACATCTTAGTCAAAATTTCATCAGACAGTTAGTCTAATGAGGTCAGTTGCTGAATAGGCTAGTATTCACTCCACTTGAACCTTCTTTCTGCCTTTCAGATCTCAGTCCCCCAAAAGAGAAACGAAAGTTGTTTACTTTCAGCAGGAGACTTTTTTCCAGCAAAGAATCCTAGCAAAGAATTTTCTCAGACAACATTCTCATATTGATTTAAAAAAAAAAAAAATCCTACCTTGGCTAGCAAGTTAAAGGAACTTCTTTTGGAATTTTACATATTGGTACAAACTCTTGATTTTAGTTTTAATTACTTTGTTAGTTATTTAATACAATCTTTAAGATACATCTTTTGTGATACATTTTCAATTAAGTGGAAGTTACAGTATCATAAGGCAATGCAGAATTCCAAATACTAAATTTAGGGGGAAAAAAACCAAGAATTATTTAACTGAAAGTCTTACATTTCTCTCTATATATCTCTAATTTCAGGCAACAAATGGAGACTCAGATAGGTGCTTTGATACTAGCCACAGACATCAGTCGCCAGAACGAGTACCTGTCTTTGTTTAGGTCCCATTTGGATAGAGGTGACTTATGCCTAGAAGATGTCAGACATAGGCATTTGGTTTTACAGGTAAAGTGGAGCTTGGAAAGATTCTATTTCTAGGCTTATCATGAAACTGATAGAATAAAAATGAAGTATTATAGCCCAGTTTTTCAGAGTGGTTGGATCTAAAGGGAAAGCTAAAGAATTACTTTCTAGAACATCACTGGCAAACCTATTATCTGGGACCCCATTGTTGTTATTTTGATATTTTTCATGCTTAAGATTTCTTATAAAGCTGAGTATGGTCATATAAATTTGTGATCCCAGCACATTGGAAGCTGAGGCAAGCACACTGTGAGTTCGAGAACTGCCTGGGCTACATTGTGAGTTCAGATGAGCCTGAACTACACAGTGAGACCCTGTCTCACAAAACAAGACAAAAAAAATTCTGATTAAAGAAAAAAATCGGATACATTTCCACATCTGAAAAATGGGTAAAGAAGTAGATTATTTCTTCATAGTTTATTAATTTATATTTATGGATAATTCAATCATAGTGATTGGCTCTTTGGGATTTCTAAGCATGGATGACTACAGGCCAGCAGTCTTATAGTATCTTCATCAGCAGTGCTGAGAAAAAAAGATTAGTATAAAAGACAATGAATTTTCTATTGCAGTATTTTCTTTTTTTTTAAATTTGTTTCTTGGGAGTGAACCAAGGATCTCATGCATGCTGAGTGTGCTATTATCTACCACTGAGCTATACTCCAGCTCTTGTCTTTCTAAAGTGTTCTTTTCCCCTTTATTACATATATCAAAACAGTGCAGTTGAAGTGCTACTTTTTTAAAACACAGTAATATTTTGTTTGCTAGATGGCTTTGAAATGTGCTGATATTTGTAACCCATGTCGGACCTGGGAATTAAGTAAGCAGTGGAGTGAAAAAGTAACAGAGGAATTCTTCCACCAAGGCAAGTTACATTATCAAGTGATAATTATTAAGTTCATATTTTTATCTCATATGAATAAGAACTCATCCATTTATAAGAATCTTAGAGTACTTGATACTTTTCAGCAACAATTCACAGATGTTGATGTAAGCCAATAAAGTACAAATATAGTGTCTGTTTTAAAAATTAACAGTCCCCTCTTGGAATGATCAGATATATGAATATTTCTTTATCAACACATAGAGAGGAAGCTAGATATCGTCTATACAGAAGGATTTCTCGGAGCCTGCTCCATCCCTTGTCATGTGTATAGGGCATGGCCATGTGATCATGCTGAATCACTGATTCAGAGCTAGTGTCTTCCTTTCATGCCACCTTCCTTTTAAAAATTCTAGGGCTGGGGATATAACTCAGTGGCATAGCACTTGCCTGGAAAGCAGTACAGGAAAAAAAAAAAAAGAAAGAAAAGAAACCATTCTAAGTTTTAAACTAATTTGCTGAGAGATTTACAGTCTGAGGGGGAGTAATGCTTGCTAAAAGTTTTTATTTCCTCTAATTAAATAAAGATATCAACTTGGCAACTTTAAACTTAAAAAAGAATTGAGAAGCCATCTTCTCATGAGGATTAAATTTGTTTTAAGAAATAAACAGGTATGATAAAAATATTAGTTGCGTATGTAACCAAAGATATGTTCCATTTTAACAGTTCTTTTTTTGATTCATAGGAGATATAGAAAAAAAGTATCATTTGAGTGTGAGTCCACTTTGTGATCGACAAACTGAATCTATTGCCAACATCCAGATTGGTAACTATGTATATTTAGATACAGTTGCTTATAAAGATCTATTCATTTTATCAAGAAGAGAACTATATTTAAAATACAAAATTCTAAAATTATGCTCATTTGTACTTTATAAAATAATTTAAGAAAATTTACTTTTGTTTTCCTTTGTTGTGACTCCTTGAATCCCTGTGCCCTGCCAGTCTTTCCCGGCTCCAGACTGCCTTCCCTCATCGCCTCCTCTCTAGGCAGCTAGGTCTTCCTCTCCTAGGCTTCTTTCACAGTGGTCAGGTAGCACTCAGATCCTTGCCTCACCTTTGGTTGTGCATCTTAAAGCTTTGCATGCACCTGAAAGCAGCACTTGAGAACTATTTGTTGAATAAACTAGTAACTGATAGAAAGCACAATGAAACATTCTGTGATGGCAGTGTAGTAGCTTGTAGAAAACTGTAAGGATCAATGATGATTGAACGTATCAGGACTTAGTTGTAAAGCTGGGAACAGTAAAAGGAAATAGCTGAAGGAAGAATGAAATTTTGATGCCTGGCCTTGAGGGAGCCTTTGAGCATTGGGTTGAGTGTAGTGAAATGTGTAGACAAACTTCAGAAAGATAAAGTTTCTAGAATATCAGATGGTGGCTCAATCATTCATTGTAATACTCAGAAAAGAGACCATGCTTAAAAGTCAAAATTCAGAACTATAATTCTTATATTGTGATTGCAAAAGACCCTTATGGGGAGGAAAGTAAAGTAGGACATGACTGATCTGCCTGCTGCAGGTGAGACAGAGGCAGAACACACATACAGGAGTATGCAGGGAGGTCCAGCCTTGAGCAGAGCCCCGACTGGCTATGGATACTGAGGTTCCTAGAAGAATGTTCTTATTGTAAAAATAAGACAATGCACACATCTGCTGTCTTTATTAAGTAGGATGATTTTTAAATGCAAAGGAATAGATGATATATGCGTGAAAGGGAATTGAACCAAAGTTAGGTGATAGGTAGCTACTTTTTTTTTTTTTTTTTTTTTTTTTTTTTTTTTT